GAAGCAAAAGAACCTCCAGGAAAGGGATAAATTAGTAAATCTGTAACAACAAAACATAATAGAACAAAAATGAAAACTGACGAGATTTACCAGTTTGGGCAGTTTAAAAACGTACTTTCCCAGTTCAATCTATTATTTCTGAATGTCTGTAATTGTCTGCCAGACAGCAATCAGCATTTCATGGAGAATTAGGGAACTAAAGGATGGACTTTGAACAGAGGTTTAGATGGCTAGAGGGATGCCTTCAATGAGAGTATTAGGGAATTGGAATGTTGAGCTTCAATGGAACAGTTGGGGAACTAGAAAGATGTGCTTCGATGGGAAAACGATGGGTTAGATGGTTGGGCTTTGATGGAAGAGTGATTATAATGTCATGGGGGATAAATTTTGATGAGGAGTTAAGGGACTAGAATGATGGGCTTCAACCAGAGATGTAGTACTGGTGGAATGTAAAGATATGTGAAGAGTTAAATCTTGTCCAGCTAACTTGAAGTTTAACTCTTATCTTTGTCTCCTCCTAAGCAAGTAAATCAGAGAGACCATTACAGGATACCTTATTTATGGTACTATAGGGACATTCTGCAAACTTTGATGTTTTGAATACTTGTTTTCAAAATAACACTCTGCAGAGAGTGAAACATGTTCTGACTTCATTGACGATGTGTTTGTGTATGTATGTGCATTTATGAGTTTGGTTTGAGACAACCAAGGCTCATTGTACAAGATAATACACTAGAAAGACAACAGGACATTCCAATTCCAATTTCTTCAAGGTGGATATTTTCCTTTTGTCACCTACATTCCCTTGGTAGAGGTTCCAACCTGGTTCCACCTACTCAGCATCCTTCTCTTTGCCGCTCAGTGGTGTTATTTATATTCAAGCCCCAGGATCACACTGTGATGCAACCTTCAATAACTTTTGCCTATTCTGTGCACCATTGACTCAGCAGGCAGCACTCCTTCTCAAGTTGGAAGGCCCTAGATTGAAGTTCCACTCCAGGGACATGAATGCAAAATTCAGGCTGGCACTTCATTTCAGTACTGAAGGAGAGCTGCACTGTTGGAGGCACTGTCTTTCAGATGAGATGCTAAGCCAAGGACCCCGTCCACCCATCGAGTGCAAGATATAAGATTCAAAAGTTGTTCATCAAAGAAGAGCAGGGTAATTCTGTTAACATTCTGGCTAGATATTCATCTGTCAACTAATGTTTGTACTATTACAGATTATCTGACCATTTATCTCATTGCTGTTTATGGGAGATTGTTGTATACAAGTTGTCTGCTGCCTTTCCTACATTAAAATGGTGACTACACATTAAGCAATTCATCGGTTTTAAAGAACAATGAAATGTCCTCGGATTGTGAAAGCACAATAAAATTCAAGCCTCTCTTTCTTTATTCAAATGTTATTGATTTTCTATATTATGAGAGGAGAGTGTTTGAGTGGTAAATGAATCCTGAGAAGAGAGAGAGTGAATTTTTAAAAATGTATTCATGTATGCATCATGAGCATTGCTGGCACCCAGCATTTGTTGCCCACTCTAATTGCCCTTGAGCAGGTGATAGGGAGCCACCGTTTTGAACTGCTTTAGTCCATTCGGTGTAGGCACACCCACAGTGCTGTCAGGAAGAAAGTTTCAGGAGGACAGTGGAAATCTTTTGAGGATGTCTTCAAATGACCCCTGAAAATTTCCCCAACAAACTCATGGGAGCATCTTCATTGTGATTGACCAAACTTGGAAAGGTTCCTTTGGGAAGGTTCATTCAAGAAGGCAGTAAATAGAGGTGGAGAGTCTTCATTGTAAACCTGCAGAAGCAAAGGCATTGGACGGGGTGCACAGACCTCTAGACAACCCATCTTCCTGACACTTCAAGCACACCTTATTCTGCATGAGGTAGAGCCTGCAGATCATGCTTTGAACATACTAGCCATCTGTGAGCCTTTCGAATCTAAGTGGATGTAGGGCAATATCCTCCAAGGGACTGCCCAAGAAGAAGTAGGTTGTATCTGTTGCCTTGTTCTTCTTTGTGGTAGAGTCACAGGTTGGAAGATGCTCTTTCCTGACTCCAGTCTTTCCTGTGATCAACTCCTTAAATTCTTCTGCAGGACAATCAGTTGTCCTTGTGACAATATGTTGAAAAAGCCTTGGCAAATTATTACAATGCTCTTGTATATGACACACCACTGCCACAGTGCATCAGAAGTGGAGGGAGTGAATGTTTGGCATGTTTGGGGCATCAATCAACAGAGTGCTTTGTCTTGGATGGTGTTGAGCTTCTTGAGTGTTGGAGCTTTACTTGTTCAGGCAAATGAACAGTGTTCCATCACACTCCTGAACGTGCCTTTGGGGAATCAGAAGGTGAATACACAGAATACCTAGTTTCTGATCTGCTCTCACAGTCACCGTATTTGTGTGGCTAGTCCAGTTAAGATTCCAGCTAATGGTAACCCAAAGGATGTTGATGGTGGGGGACTCAGCATTGATAATAAGTAACTGCCTATCAAGGGGAGGTGATTATAAATTTATTGACTAGCTTTTGTGTGGCACAAATGCCGCTGATCAGTTATCAACCTAGGGCCTGGATGTTTTCTAGATCTTGTTGCTTATGGGTAAGGTCAGCTTCATTATCTGAGGGATTGCAAATGGTGCTAAACACTGTGCATTCGTCACTGCTGATGTCATGTTGGAAGGTCACTAATGGAGCAGCTGACGATGGTTGGGTTAGGACACTACTCTGAGGAATTCCTGCAATGACATCCTAGGACTGAGATAATTGAAGAGTTTTCCCCCAGTTCTCATTGATTTCAACTTACTCAGGCTCCTTGACTTCAGAATATGTCACTCTCACCTCACTTGTGGAATTCACTTCTTTTGTCTCTGTCTGGACTAAGGCTGTAATGAGGTCAGAAATTGAGAGGTCCTGGTATGACCCAAACTGAGCATCAATGAGCAGGTTATTGCTGAGGGAGTTCTGCTTGATAGCACTGTCAGTAACCTCTTCCATCACTTTGCTGTGGATCAAAGGTAGACTGAATGCGGAGGTAATTAGTCATGTTGGATTCCTCCTGCATTTTGTGGGCAGAACAAAAGTGGGCAGTTTTTCACATTGTCATGTAGGTGCCAGTAGTGTGACAGTATTGGAACAGCTTGGCTAAATGCATGGCTAGCTCAGGAGCGTAATCTTCAATTATATCAAGTATTAGCTGTTGCACTATCCAGAGACTTAAGCCTTTGTTTGATATTTCATGGAATGAATTGAATTGAATGAAATCTATCTTCTGTGATGTTGGGGGACATCAGGAGAAGGCTGAAGTGAATTACCCACTCTTGGTACTTCTGACTGATGATGATTGTGAATGCTTCAGTCTTGTCTTTGACAGTGGTGTGCTTGGCACTTCCACTGTGGAGAATGGGAACTTTTGTAGAGTTTTCTGCTCCTAATAATTATTTAATCACCATTCACAACTGGATGTGTCAAAAATTCACAGCTTTGATTTACCTCACTAGATATAGGACTGCTTAGCTGTGCCTAAACTGTGCTGCATTGCTGGTTAGTGTTCATGTAGTCCTGTACTGTAGCTTCATGATGTTGGAATCTCATTTCAGATCTGTCTGGTGCTGTTCTAGGTGGGCTGTTCTCTCATCTGTGGCATGTAGATTATTGAGGATGGGGTCAAGTAGGTTTTCTTTGTTGGCTGTCTCATCAGCCATAGGACAAGCCTAGCAGATAATTTCTTCATGATTTGGTCAATCAATTTGAGTCATTCTTGGTGATAGACTTTGAAGTTCCCTACCCAATGTACACTTAGCATCCTTGTAACTCTCAGTGCCCCTTCTAAATGGTCTTACTGGGGTCACAGCCTAAAAAAAAACCAGACCATTCAGAAATGAAACGGCAAAGCACCTCTACGCACGAAAGGTATTAGAAATTTGGAAACGCTCTTCTGTAAATGGCAATCAATGCTATATCAGCTGTTAATTTTAAATCTGGATATATTCAGGGATATGGGATATACCTAGCTCACGAATCAGCTAGAATCCCATTGAATGATGGAACAGGCCAGATTTGTTTTTCCCACAAAAAGATGTCCTCTCCAAGTACCATACTTTCAGTGCCAAGCTCCCTTTCGCACTGTTACACCTTTTGTGCCAGGTTCCCTCTCCCAGTGCCAATGTCCATTTGTCCCAGTGCCATCTTCCTCATGCCAGATTCCTTTTCCCAGTGCCAGGCTTGGGTCCCATGCCTAATGCCCTGCTTCCCTTCCGAGCGCTAGACTCCCTTTCCCCGCGCCAGGCATTTTTCCAGTGCCCAATCTCCTAGTGCTACATTGGTAGTGCCAGGCTCCCTTTCCTTGCACCAGGACCCTTCTCAGAGCCATGTTCCCTTTCCCGGGGTAAAGCTGCCTTTCCCAGTAACACACTCCGAGGGCAAGGCTCCATTTCCCAGTCCCAGGTTCATTTTTCCAGTGCCATGCTCCTACTGCTAGACCCCCTCCTCCAAGCGTCACACTCTTACTCCAGACTTTCTCTGTCAGGTTCCATTTCCCAATGCCAGGCTCCCTTTCTCACAGTCCTAATACCAGACTGCCTCTCCCAGTGCTGCACCCTTAGTACCAGTCTCCCTCTCCCAGTGCCGGGTTCCCATTTCCAATGCCTGGCTTCCCTTCCCCGTGTCACCCTCCCAGTTCCAGTTTCCTTTTTCTCAGTGCCAGGGTCCCAGGTCTCGGATCTCTCTCACAATGTTAGGCTCTCAGAACACCACAAATACAAAAGAAAAGGCGCTTTCTGGGAATCAGAAAATTAAAAATAAACACACACACGCAAATGTTATTGAAAATAGTCAGCAAGTCTGGCAGTGTCTGTGAAGTAACGCATCAGGCTGCCGGTGCCAAGGCTCCCTCTCCTGGCACTTAGTGCCCATTTGAGGGGGTTGGGGGTGGGGGACATGAGGCTGCGACATCAGCCTCTGGGGCTCCGCCCCATCCAGAGCTGCGATTTAAAGCCAGAGCCGCGAAGCGAGAGCACCTCAGAGCGGCGAAGGCACAGGGAGTGAGGTGCTGACTCACAGACTGGTACTGGGTGAGTATCTAAGGGGCGCCGACTCCACTGTCAGATTTAATTTGAGCTGCCCGCGGTCTCTTCCATTCTATTGCTGATCCTGTCCCATCATAGGGGGAGTTAGCCCTCTCCCCTAAACCCATTGACCTTCTGCCTGGCTCTCCAACCCTTATACAATACCGTCTCCGCCTCAGCTCTGTCCTCGATCACCCCATTCAGATCCCTCCCAGTTCCATGTGGCTAATCATTATAATCGGCGTTGGTGTAAATTGTACCGGGGCGGGGGTGATGAGAGTGATGGCAGTGTGGATTCGGCCAGAGCGCGTTGGGGGTGGGGGCGGTGTGGGAGGGATTTGGGGATGATTGGAGAGTTAATCTCACCTCCATTTGTTGAATTATTAGAGACAGTAATGATTGTGAATGGAGGTGCAGAATCCGAATTTAGTTTTTTTTTAATTCACGACGTCGGGCGGCACTAAGGAAGGTTTTTCTACGGATCTCTCTTGTGTGTTCGGGGGATGTTTGCAAAGCCAATCCTCAGTGTTCCTGAATGGGTCTCCACAGCGGGAAAAGAAATTAATCTCCGGCAGGTCCCCCAAAAGTCAAGTGGCAGTCTCCCTGGCTCTCACTGGGAGGTAATTCACTTCTGTACGGTGCCCCTGTCAGGTGGGAACGACTCCCATGCACTGAGGTAGGGCATTCTCTTCACCAATGTAGGATCCAAGCAGTTTCAGATATATGCAGCTTGTAGGCAAGCCCAGTCCGAAGAAAATTTGGGCCCGGCGTGAATCTGTTAACGATTGGCATAATCAAATAGGGAAAAAGCAACTTCAGGCTATCCCTCTCTGGACGCTCCTTTGAATTCACTTTCTGTAATTTCCTCCTTCTCACGTGATACTTCAGATGAAGATGAGATTATAAATCAGTATTGTAGCAAAGTTTGCTGATCTGCCCTGGGGCACCCAAGATAATGGGCTGGGGTACTGGAGACTTTAAAACAAGGGATACAAGATTAGGTGAATTGAGAAAAGGAAGGAGGGGAGCAGGTTAGATAATTTGAATGCATGGAATAACTGTTTGCAGCCAAGAAAAAGCCTGATAGCTCTCAGATGGTACAGTAGCAATGGAATGAATGGCCCCCTCCAAGGATGTAAATGATCCTCAGTGCCTCTCCTCCAAGTGAGCCTGTTCCCACCCTGTAGACAGATATCAGATGTCCACAACAATGTTTAGAAAGTAAGACTTGCATTTTTTGTAGAACCATTCAAAGCCTCAGCTTCACAACCAATTAAAATACTGTTTTATGAAGTATGGTTGCTGTTAGAATTCAGGTAACACCATTGCCAATATAGGTCCAGCAAGAGATCAGAATGTGATCATGTTCCAGATAATCTGTTTCAGTGATGCTGTCTCAGGGATAAATGTCGGCAAACACAATTGCCTGCAGCCTTCCCAGATTTTTCTGGAACAGAGATAGTTTCAGAAGATCCAAAGCCTTTCCCAGACTTCCACAGGAATGTTCTCTTGACAGGAATGCCTCTCGGATGTGGCTGGTTTTGTGCTGGGCCTCCCTCTGTGCCAATCTTATTTCTGCTGTTTTATATGCAATGGATTTGGACAGTGAAACTTGCAGTCTGTCAAACCACCATGGGGTAATAGTCCGCAGTTGTGAGTTCACATTCTGAGTTTTTCATTGCAGTTTGTTTTTTTTTACCTCTTGATTTTTAGCTTCAGATAGGGTAGGGAAATGATTAGTTTTCCTCCACAAGCTCAAAACTATGTCTGTGGTGAAGAATTGCATGACTAACTGGCTGAGCTGGCCATTTAACTCCCACCCAGGGATTTTTGTTATTGGCTTCCCCGAGCAGCATGCAAGGCCGGTATGGCCTATGTTTCCCAGGGGAGTCTATGCCTGGAGCTAAGGAGGAAAAACACACAACGGTCCCACTCCTAACTCTCTGAAGCCAAAGTTATCTTTTGAGTGCAGTTTGTAGCCAGTGCTGAGGCCCTGATCCCCCCTCAACCATTGTAGGGTTCCTCCAAGGTCAGCTAGATTAGTCATTGCTTAGCAACCAGCGTGCTGTGCGTATGTGTTGGGTGGGTTTTAATCACTGGGTCAAATTAACTTTTTGTCTGATTTATCACGGGAAAGGATCTGTGGAGCAAAGGATGGAATTTAGAATCTGCATTAGCTTGTGAATTAAGTTCTCGACTATGTAGATACAAAATTGGCTGAGGGGCAGAAACAAATAATAGTAGTGAACAGCCTTTTCCCCAGACTGCAGAAAAGGATACAGTTGTGTTTTCCAGGGATTATAGAAACCACTTTTTGATAATAACCAGGATTTGGGTCTGCACAGCATGATTTCAAAATATATGGATAATATGAAACTGAAAAGTGTAATAAGCAATGATGAGGATAGTAACAGACTTTGGAGGGCACTGACAGCCTGGTGAATCAAGCAGCCACATGGCAGATGAGATTTTAACTTAGAGGGCGGTGAAATCACTCATTTTGAAAAGAGAACTGATGAGGCAATATGGACTAAATGGTACAGTTTCAAAGTGGTTGCGGGAACAGAAATCTGAAAGTGTACGTTCATAATCTTCGAAGGTGGCTGGATGTGTTCAGAAGGCTTTTTTTTGAAAGATATGGGAAGCTCGGCTTAGAAAAGGACAGAGGAGATTTACCAGGATATTCCCCGGGATGAGGGGCTTCAGTTCTGAGGAGAGTTCAGACTGTTTTCCTTGGAACACCGGGTAGACTGGATACAGGTTTCCAAAATGATGTGAGGCTATGATCAAGTACTGTACTTACAGTGGAAAAATTATTCCCTGCGGCAAGTGTGTCAATAACCAGATGTCATAAATTGAAAATCATTAATGAAAGATTAGGAGAAATGTTTTCAGATCTGGAATGTTCAATCTGAAAAGGCTTTAGATGCTGATTCCATAATAATTTTAAAAGTGAGTTGGACAGGTACTTGAGGACTAGGAACTGACAGGTTACAAACATAAAGCATACTGTGAGACTGCGTGCAGCTACTCTTTCAAAGAGCCAGCGCAGACACAGCAGGCTGAATGGTCTCCTCTGCACTGTGATTCTGGTTTGAACTGTTTGAATGTCTGCCACAAGCAGAGATTTTTTTCCTCTCATTTTTGGCAGAGCAGAATTTTGTCATGTTGATGCTTAACCCTCTGAGAAGGGTGAATGGCAATGCAGAATGAGTTTGAGGAGGAGGTTAAGTGTCCGGCACTGATCCTAGCACACAAGAGGGATCGATGTCTCTTCATTAAAGAGATGTCTGCTCTTGAAATCGTGGGAAAATATCCAGGGCAAAACAATTCATCACGCATAGTGATAGAAAAGGTTGCAATAACACCGAGAGAGCACTGTGGTGCTTCCTGTTCTTTCTTTCTCTCTTTTTTTTTATATTCTGTCTGTGAATAGCCTTCCTGAAACTGGGCATGGGGCCAGAATCGCTGTTGCTGTGGCCCAGCCCATCTCAGATGAAGACTGGTGAGAGGGAGGCAAATTATTGCCTCTGTGCTCTGGGTGGAATGCAAGAATTCAGTGAGAGAATGAGAAAGAAAGAAAGAAAAGGGCTGTTTCCATCTTGAAACTGTGTGTGTGTGTATGAGAGAGAGAGAGACTTCCAGAGAACTGAGCTAACCGAGAACAAAAGGTGAGTACAAAAGCACATCAGCCACACTGCGCTCACAGTCCTGGTATTGGTCTCTGGGTGGGATCAGGATAAACAGCATCCTCACATCTGGTTCTGACTTTTATTGATTTCACTTGCGGATTCAGCAACCCAGGGTCTGCATACAGGTTTAGCAGCTTGAACAATGATGTTTTCAGAGATTGTGTGACAGGAATCCTTCACAGATGACCCCTTTTGAAGTTATTGTGACCTTTTTCCCTCTCTCTATTCCTTCTACTTATTTGGAATATGTGCTCCTGTCCTCCCTTGATGGTTGAGGACACGATTGTGCCATCTCAATGTTTCATTTCTGGCCTCTGTACACAAAACAGGGTGTGCAGGAACTCTTTACCAATGCCCAGAGCATGAGACAATGCCTTGCTGAGAGCTTGCTTTCTCCTCCCTATAAACCTCAGCGTGTGCTAGGCCTGCACATAAAATGGACAGCCTGGTTCACATTCTCTGCTCGAATCCACGTCACATACCACTGCTTCACTAGCCTTTTGGTGCCAGCATGGGTTGTGGGTTCAAGTGCTACCCCACAACTTGAGCAAAAAATCGTGGCACACACTCCAGTTCAGTTCTGAGAGGAGTGCTACACTTTTGGAGGCGCTACACATTTCAGATGAGATATTAAATCAAAGCCATGACTGCCGTCTCACTTATGTGTACAAGGGCCTTTGACTCCCTCGTGTCAAGACTCTTCTGTTAACCAATATTACTGTGAAAGAAAAGCAGTTTATCTGATCTCTATTTTCGGGGACATGTGTGCAAATTGCTTTTCCTCATTGCACTTGTGCCCGTGCTTCAAAAAGAACATCAGATTAATAGCCTCGTTGCAAGTTTGAACCATACAAGGTTTTACAGGACTGCAGCAGCAAGCAATTGAAGTTTGGAAATGAGAAAAATGGAAAAATGAGATGAAGTGTTAGAAGAAATATCTAAACCACAACTCAGAGCCTCTTCACTCAGACAGCAAGAGACCTCCTTCAGGCTCGGTTGTGGTCTGGCCACTGATCTATGATGAGCAGGAGAAGAGCAGTCACATTTGCTGCCTAAAATCTAGCATGCCAACCCTTAGGAATGAGGCCTTGGAAGCCACATTATTCCTGCTGCCAAACCTGAGGAGAGGTTACTGACTTATGGCAAGTTGGTGCCAAGCTCACCTTGTACTACTGTTAATAGTATCTAAATTGTGTGCTTGTGGTGGACATAAACCTGGGAGGAAGTAGGAACAGACTGAAGATCAGGAAGGCCTGTGTTCAAGTCCCACCTGCACCAGAACAACTCGGAACAAGTTGATTAGAAAAATAAGTCTTCTTTTTAATGAAAAAAAAGAGGAGAGACAGTCCATTAGGAATGGACTGAAATTGTGATGGTTGAGTTTGGTGTATGTTTGTGACAGTTATCTCAGGAAAGCACGCTTAAATTGTGCAAAGGTTGGCTTTAGTTTTATCATTTGCCACCTCACTTTCTGGAATTTGATACAGCAACTTTCTGGCCCATGGCAGAGCCAATATGGGGTTACGTACAGAGTAAACCTCTGTTATTCCATCAAACAATCCCAGGGCAGGTACAGACAGGTCAGAGACAAAATAAAGCTCCCTCTACACTGTTCCAACCTAACCTCAGATGAGATGTGTACTAGGATGTTGCGACAGTTTTCCCTTCCGATATCGAGTTGTAGGTTTGAGTAAGATCAACCATCTAGCACTAATTTCACAATAGTTTGGTTCCTATTTTCCAGATTGGCTGGCCATTTACAATCAGGTATTGGACCATTTCAGTTATGGACTAGAGGTTGAATTACATCATCTCCATACCTGTGATAGCTATTCACAATAATTTCTGATGACCTGCTGCGTATTGGAAATTGCCACCATCACCACCAGCACCGCCCAACACACTTTCTGCACAGCCTCATGATCACTTCTGTTCTATTTTAAACGCATGACCACTTGATACTTTCATATCCACTTGTGTGGGCTGTCACTGTGTAGACCAAATTTAAAGTCTACAGCGAAGGTAAAAAACCAGAGTTAACATTTCGGGTCCGGTGACTCTACCTCAGAACTTCCTTCACAGATGCTGCCAGACCTGCTGAGCTTTACCAACAACTTTGTTTTTGTTCCTGATTCACAGCATGCACAGTTCTTTCAGTTTTTAAAGTCTATAGCGCTGACCCTAAAGAAACCGTTACTTCATTCTGCGCACTATTTCAATTCATGTCCCCACATTTGCACATGCAAATCTTTTATGGTTGGTAAAATTGAGTATGTTATTATTAATAAGGTATATAAGCTCCTTGGCTTGGAGAACATTATTAATAGTTGCATCAAATGTTCAGAGGAATTTATTAGCAAGTTCTAAATTGCTGAAGGTTTTGACAGAGGAGTTAAGGAGAAATTGTCAATACTAGTGCAAGGGTCACTAACCAGAGGATGCAGAATTAATAAAAATGTCATTGGAACCAAAGGGGATATTGGGTAGTGTTTTTTTTTAACGCTGTGAATTGTTTGGATGGATGCACTGCCTAAATGCAGTGTCTGTCCAGCAGCAAGCAGTAAACGATGCCATGGCATATTCTTGTTTTTCAGAAAGCAGTTTTGATAACCAAGATAAAGGAAGAGTATGGCTCTATTGAGAATTGTGACCACTATATCCCTGCTCCTCACCCTTGCTGTGGCATCTGAAGTAAGTATCCCACCTTCACACTGCAATCACTTCCCCCTCAACCCACCCCATGCCAACATTCTCTCATTTCTTTCTGTTTGTTTGTTCTCTATCTCTGTCTCTCTTCTCTATACCTCTGCTACTGTCTGTATTCTGACTCATGTGGTTCTCTCATATTAATCTCTCTCATATTGATCTCTCTCATCTAGCTTTTTATCGCTGCATCTCTCTGTCTCTCTTTTTCACGCATACATAAGAGACCTTTATTTAAAGAAACATTCAGCTTATTTTTGAATGTATCTGATCCTGAAGTGATCTGAAAGCAAGAAATGTCAGTAATAAGCTGTGTCTTGACTCCAATGCGGAGTGAGTGAAAATGAGGAAGTAACTTTATTTCCTATATTATACTAGTACCACGTATACAAAGGGCTGGCCACTGTTCAAATTAATTAATTTTCTAAAGAGCAACTATAAAGTAAACCCTTGTTGGGAAAGGGGTTCCAGTAAACATTTAACCTATACTGTGTTGAAAGGTCATTGGCCTGAAGTGTTAACTGCTTCTGCTCAGAAGCTGCCAAACCGCTGAGTATGTTAGTTTTGCATTCTCTCCTCCTTCCCAACAATAGAAGAGAGGAGTTTTCAAACAGTATCTGTCAGTTCAACCTGCATATCACAGAGTGGTATGTGTAACCGGAAAGGGCAGCAGATGCAGATTTGGTGATAACTTTCAAAAGGGGAGTGGGGAGAAAAGCAGGGGGAGTGGGACAAATTGGATAGCTCTTTCAAAGAGCCTGCACTGGCAAAAGGGGCTGAATGGTTTCCTTCTACGCAGTAATGTTCTGATCTGTTCTGTTTCAACCACAGCATTTGCGATTTAAACGGGGGGCAAGACACTTTGAGTCTAAGACTACTCGAGGTGAGTTCTTTTCTGTAGATAAATCCTGTTACTCGCGCTGAATGTTTGTGTAAGAAGCATGTGAGCCTATGTGATGTTGTTGTTCTCTGCTGGGCCTTAACTCCTCTGCCCATGCTCCATTGCCAGCTGCATTTCCCTGATAACAGAATCTTAGCAACCAGGTCATCTATACTCAGTTATGTACAACAAGAGCACAAATTTTCCCTGATAATTGTGCAGCATGGATACTGCTTCTCTCCACATGTTTGTGTAAAAGTCCCTGTGATCATAAAATGTTTGATCACAGTTCCAAAATGGGTAAAGCCTCAATTACTGTGAACTGTGATGCCTGGTTGTGGGCAGAGCTTGGGAACCATTTTACTTGCAGCAAATTCCCACCACCAGCTGTGAGAGTAAAGATTAGTTGATTGGGCTTTTTGATGGTGTGGTTGTGGAAGGAATGTTGGTCAGGACCATGGGAAAACTTGTCCTTTCCAACAGTCTGAATTACTGAGATAGGTTTTAATATCTTGTCCCTGCCAATGTTGCAGTGCTCCAAAAGTCTACCCTCCCTACTGGTGTGATACTCCCCCTCAGTCAGAACTGAGGACGGGTCACCAGACCCGAAACGTTAACTCTGATTTTTCTTCACAGATGCTGCCAGACCTGCTGAGCTTTTCCAGCAACTTCTGTTTTTGTTCCTGATTTACAGCATCCGTAGTTCTTTTGGTTTTTATTATGGATCAACAATCCTTTTTAACTACCCTAATAATGGTAAGGCATTTTTCAGCACTGCATTCCGATGATGCAGCAGCCCCTCCAACAGTGCCTTTATTCCCTCCATATTGCCCATCTGACGTGCTGTGCACTTTCTACATTGTTCGTCCAGCAGAACTGTGCTCCCTCCATGCTGCCTCTCTCAATAGTTTGACTGGAAGTAACCTTCAAAAAAAAATTAGAGCCATAGCTTTCAAAAGTGAAGTTAGGGTGGTCGGATATCACAACTGCAAAATGGCAATTGATGCCAGATTAAATGATGTTTTTAAATCAGAGATTTCTAGATCTTTTTTATTCACAGATGTGAAGGGACATGGAGCAAAAGCAGATCTTTGGGTTTAGGTCACATTTATGATTTCATTGATTGAGGGGGTCAATGACTATCTTCTGTTCCTATTCCCTTCCACTGATTTACCTTGAGTGTCTAACAACATTTAAATGTGTGATAGAAATGCTTTGTAAGGTAGCTAGTTTTGTTATGTGTTCATTGTTGTGATATTGTTGAACTTGGCTGTGCCTACAGTCACCATGTTGAATTGGTCCTAACGTGCCTGTAATCTCTCAACATGTGCTTACAACTCAGCCCATTGTGCAATTTTCACTGCCAACAGATTTCCTTTTTTCTTATGACTGTGTTTTAGGACATTGCATGAGCTCGGCTGGCTCGGTTTTTCACCTGCATGGCGATACATGGCTGCAGATTGAGGGACGACAAGTCCAGTACTGCCGCTGTGACCAGTCTAGGATTCACTGCCACAGGGTACCTGTACGAGGTGTGTGTATGCATGTGTGTGTGAGCGGAACCATACTCTGCTGTTTGGATCAGCATCTCAATTTACTGGAGCTTTTAACTCATCAAGGGCTGATCATTAACAAAGAGAAAGCATCGTTTTCACTCCCTAAATCGGTGTCACAAAAACAGGAAAACTGCCCAGCCCCTCTATCCCATTCCAGCAAGAAAAGATAATTCCCTCCCCCGTCTACCACAATCTCTAATGGCATTGCAAGGTGGATACAGGGGGAATGTTTCCACGTATGGGGAAGAAATAAATCTAGAGGCCATCAACATAAGATAGCCCTCAAGAAATCCAATCACTCTGACAGGAAGTGGTTGAAGTGAATCATATCACTGTATTTAAGGGGAAGAAAGATAGGAACATGACAAGGGAGAAAGAGCTAGAGGGTTTTGCTGATGGAGCATAAATACCAATAAAGACTGGTTGAGCTGAACGGCATGTCTCTATGCTGTACATTCTGTGTAATCCTTCAGAAAGTGACTCCTGATTCTTCTCACTCGAGATATCAGGTGCTGTGTGTGAAGGCAAGGTTACTGCCCAAATTACTGTCACTCCTAGAATAATTTTTCCTCACCATCTTCCTGCAGTCTTGATCCTCTTTCCAACATTCGGTCATCCATTTCATCCAGTCTTTCTGTAACTAAACAGCATTCGGAGTTGTTTTCTGTCCTCAATTCAAGACCTACCCTTAGACAATCAGCTGATTTGATTCAACCAACATCCCCTCTCACCAGTCCAGTGACCTACCCCTCCAATAAGTAACTACTGTCTGGAGCCCTTCCAAACAAATGACAACAGAGGCTGCATGTTCAAATCATTGGAAGAGGAGGGGAAGGTAGAGTAGGGGAGAGGATAAAATATTTTCTTGGAGTTACTGAAAATTATTCCACTAAGGGCAAAAAGCAATTTTTGTGCATCACACTCAGTTTAGTTTTGAAGACAGTCATGGAGCCATACAGCACGGAAAGAGACTCTTTGGTCAACTTGTCCGCACCGACCAGACATTCCAATCTGACCTGGTCCCATTTGCCAGCATTTGGTTCATATCTCTCTAAACCCTTCCTATTCATATACCCATCCAGATGCCTTTTAAATGTTGCAATTGTACCAGCCTCCACCACTTCCCCTAGTACTCGTTCCATACATGCACCACCCTCTGTTTGGAAAAGTTGCCTTCAGGTCCTTTTTAAATCTTTCCCGTTGCAGCTTAAAACAAGAGGGCAGAGGATTAAGGTGAGAGGGGAAAGATGAGTATGTGAATAGGAAGAATTTAGAGGGATAGGGGCTGAATGCTGGCAAATGGGAGAAGATTTATTCCAGATATCAATCTGGTTATCTGATCAGCATGGACGAGTTGGATGGAAGGGTCTGTTTCCATGGTGTATATCTTTAATCTTGTATGCCCTCTAGCTTTGCCACCCCCACCCCCAACCCAACCACCACCCCACCCTACCCTCTGAAAAAGGCCTTGGCTGTTTGTCCTATCCATGTCCCACAATTTTATAGACCTGTCTCAGATCACCACTCTGACTCCGATGCTCCAGAGAAAATAGCCACAGCCTGTTCAGCCTCTCCCTATGACTCAACTCAAACCCTCCAGTCTCAGCAATGTTCATGAAAATCTCTTCTGCATCCTTTCAAGTTTAACAACATCTTTCCTATAGAAGGGTGACCACAATTGGATGAAGTATTCGAAAAGTGGGCACCAATGTCTTGTACAGCCACAACATGACATCCTAACTCCTATACTCAATGTTCTGACCAGTGAAGGCAATATAGGCACTCAGTCAGAGATAATTTTTGAGTGCTGCATCGCTGGTGGGGTGGGATGGTGGGGTTAACTGAGAGCGTAGTGACTGATGACAGTGTTTATTGACCCTCACAGATTGCACCCGGAACAAGTGCTACAATGGCGGAATATGTCGCCAGGCCCTTTACTCTCAGCACTACGCGTGTGAGTGCCAAGCTGGTTACAGTGGTCAGCTATGTGAGTTTGGTAAGTGATGTTGACCAGCTCTTTGCTGGAGCTTCCTGCAACCCAGACTACTCTTCACTTTTTCCCACCAATCTGACCCCCCTCCCGGTCTCTTGCATTGCAGACACCAAAGTGCAGTGTTACCAGGATCAAGGAACTGGATATCGAGGAACCTGGAGTATCACCCGCTCCGGGGCAAAGTGCCTGAACTGGAATTCAACCGCAGTGTCCCGCACTCGTTACAACGGCCGCAGGCCAGACGCCCAACAAATGGGGCTTGGGAATCACAACTACTGCAGGTACAAAACATTTGAAGAAAGAAAAACTTGCATTAATTTAGCAAATTTCATCACCTGAAGGCATCCTAGAAGCCTTTACACCAAAAAAATTATTTTTATGGAGTTCATGTTGTATGGAAGGAAACATTCGGATCAAATTGCACACAACAAGATACCATTAACAGTGTTGTATTTATGACTAGATGTAGTATCAGTTTTAATATTATTGGCTAAGGAATTAATTTTGATAAGAGAATTCTCTATTCTTCTTCCAAATCGATTTTTTTTAATGTCTTGATAGGGCAGTTTGGGCCTGGATTTGATATCTCACCTCTGACATTGCAGCACTCCCTCTATATAGCTTCAAAAGTGTCAGCTAGGATTACATACTAAGGTGTCCAGAGTGAGACTTGAACCTACAACTAGTTTAAGAGGTGAGAGTCCGACACACTGAGCTGCAGTCGGTTCTTGGTCTTTTCCACTGGCCCTTCTACTAATTATTGCTTGCAGATAATCTCTATGGCCAATCTCATACTTCCCTTAAATGGCAGCCAATCATCTGCAAACCTGGAGAGTAACAGGCTGTTCTTTTGTAGGAGCCATCACAACTTGGCCCAACCCTCCTTCCTGCCAAACTCTCCAAATACTTTCAGCTGATTCAGCTCAAACTGAGGATTAGTGTTTCTAAGGAGAGAAGGAATATTCTAACACAGCATGAGTCAGACCTTACCTCAGTGTGTTCAATGTGTCTGTTTCTTCACCTTTTTCTCTTTGTTAATATATGCATCTTTCTTTCTTCTTTGCAGGAACCCTGACAATGACACAGTGCCCTGGTGCCATGTCTACAATGGCCACATCCTGACCTGGGACAAGTGCAGCATTTCTGCCTGCCCAAAGCGTAAGTCTCTCCTATTACATCTCTCAAAGCAATCACTGCCTGTTGCCCTTTGTCTGTTTGGGTGATGTCCAGGAAAATCCCCAGGTCCCTATTGCACCCTCACAATGTCCCACTTTCTCCTTTTACATTGCCTGTAATGACATTCTCCTTGTAGTCAAAGAGATAGTGGCTCAGGTGTCTGTACAGGAGTTTTACAGTCCAAACAGCAACGGAGTTATTATTATTACTAACCAGGTTTCTGTTTGATGGTAGATCACAGCTCCGAGTGCTACGCCAAAACTGGGGCAGATTATCGCGGAACCAGAAGTTACTCGCAGTCTGGGAGTCGTTGTCTCAACTGGGATTCTGAAGCAGTCCGCCACAAGCAACATAATGCATGGGTACACAACGCTCACCACTTGGGGCTGGGAAGCCACAGTCACTGCAGGTATAACTCTGAGAAAACAGTTAAATTCTTCTCTCTCTCCCTTCACTGACTCACACAGATTATCTCTAAGTTTGTAGCTATTAGTCTGTATGATTTTTCTCTTATTGACTGGGCTGTGCTAAAAGTGCATTTCTGCATTCACAGACACTCTCTTGCTCACCAATAACCCCATGACAGCTCACTGACACTCACACTGTCATCACTAATTCCATGTCTGTTCACTGACACTCTGGCAATTTTTCTGTTCTCATTCCAGGAATCCAGATCAAGATTTCAAGCCTTGGTGTTTCATTATGAAAGGAAGAAAAGTCATTCGGGAATACTGCAACATTGAGCAGTGCATTTCATCAGGTGAGAATTGGACCCTGACCTAAGCTCTGTTTATGTGGACACATAGCTACACATGCGTGTAGACGCACATGAACTTGCACCTCACTCTAAGCATCAATACATGTATGTACGATTGTAGATACATGAACGCAAGTTAACATGTACTCAGGCTGACTCCCAATACAACTGTATATAGATAGTCTGACACATATTGCTGCAATTGCATGCACATGCACACATTGACACACATGCTCATGCAAACACAGATAAGGATACATACAGACACATACATAAATAAGCATAGACATACAGTTATAGGCGATACTGACAGTGTCCATTTTGAAATTTGAAGCAAATCATCTAATCATTTGCTTGATCATTCCCGTTTTTCCCATGCATGGAGCAGGTAGCTGTGGGAAGAGAGAACCTAAAGCCATGCAGTACCGGATCCTGGGAGGAACCACCACCCATATTACATCCCACCCTTGGCAGGCTGCCATTTTCATCTACCATCAGAGGTCAAAGGATTATGCTTTCTTGTGTGGAGGAAGCCTGATTGATTCCTGTTGGATCCTCACAGCTGCTCACTGCCTCCAGCACAGGTAGGTGTAGCATTGTAGCCACAGGCCTGAAGGCCTGGGATCGCCAAGAGACCTCCGGCAAGCTTCACACACAAGAGGAGACAAGCTAAACTGCCATTAATTTAATCAAAGAACAGTAGAGCACGGGAACAGGGCCTTTGATCCAAGACTGTGCCAATACATTGTGGAGCTGGAGGAACACAGTAGGTCAGGCAGCATCAGAGGATCAGGAAAGTCAATGTTTTGGGTCAGACCCTTCATCAGAACTCACCCAAAACATAGACTTTGCTGCTCCTCTGCTGCCTGACCTGCTGTGTTCCTCCAGCTCCACACTGTGACTCTGACTCCAGCTTCTGCAGTTCTTATTATCTCTGTGCCAATACATGATATCTTTCTAAACTAAAATCCTTTTGCATCTATGCTAACCCTCTATTCCCTGTCTAATAATATATCTGTTAAGATGCCTTTTAAATATTGCTGTTATATCCACCTCCACCATCTCCTCTGGCAGTGCATTCCAGGCACTTGCCATCCTCTGTGTAAAGAAGCTTGCCTCTCACATCTCCTTCAAACTTAACCCCTTTTACCTTAAACCTATGTCCCCTCATAATTGACATTTCTACCCAGGAAAAAGATTCTGACTATCCATTCTATCCATGCCTTTCATAATTTTATATCAGGTCATTCCTCATCCTTTGACATTCAACTGAAAACAAACCAAGTTTGTCCGATCTCTTCTCATAGCTAAAACTCTCTAAACCAGACGACATCCCAGTAAGCCACTTCTGTACCCTGTCCTAAGCCTCCACGCCCTTCTGGCAGTATGGCAACCAGAACTGTACACGGTATTTCAAATGTGATCAAACTAAAGTTTTGCACAGCTGCAACATTAGTATCTTTAAGGTAGAAAGAGACAAAACCTAAGGTGCTTTGCAAAAACAAAACGACATGCAAAAGTGAACAAATTTATCTTCACAAAGAACTTTTCTTTTTATTCATTCATGGAATGTGAACATCACTGGCTCGGTCAGGATCTATTACCCCTCTCTCTATTTGCCTAAGAGCAGTTAATTCAATCACATTTTTCTGGGTCTGGAGTTACATGTATGTCAGACTAGTTAAGAATGTTAAATTTCCCCTCCATGATTCTAATGGGTATTTACAACAATCAGCAGTGTCGCTGCATATAATTGTTTTTAGGCCTGTTTTGTCTTCAAGATTTTTACTGAATCCATTTGTGAAGATAAATTTGTTCACTTTTGCATGTTTTGTTTTTGCAAAGCACCTTTGTTTCACATCTGCCATTGTGGGATTTGAAACTGCAGCCCTAAGAAGTTAACTGAGGAGCTCGTAACATTAAAACTAGGCCACTACATCCCCCTTTGATAACCTTGAATCCCAAAGCACTTTGAAATTCATGAAGTATTTCTGAACTGTTGTAATAAACATGGAAGCCAATCTGTGCGTAGCAAGATCTCACAGCAACAAGATGAAGAGTTCTGAGGAAGGGTCACTAGACCCGAAACGTTAACTCTGATTTTTCTTTCCTTCACAGATGCTGCCAGACCTGCTGAGCTTTTCCAGCAACTTCTGTTTTTGTTCCTGATTTACGGCATCTACAGTTCTTTTGGTTTTTACGAAGACCAGATTCCCTTGTATGATACCTTTTGAGGGGATAAATATTGGGGCAAACTTCATTGTTCTTGTTTGAAAAAGTGGGATTTTTTCCTATCCTCCCAACAGAGGCATTCCATGTGGTCATTTCTTTCCTTGTTACTAATGCTGGTAAGAGGATCCAGTGTACACATGGAGCTAAAATCGCCCACAAACCTTGGAGAAATAGCTAAGTCCACAATCTCTACTAGTCTGCCCGATGGCTAGGGTTATCATACAGATTGTTCTCCAATTACCCTGCCCTCTCTCTTCTGTGTTGGTTCCGAGAATACGTAGGTAGCTGATGATAGAACTGCTTTAAGTGTCTTACTTTGTTTCTTCAAGCAGGTTCAAAACGCAAGAGATCAAAGTGATCATGGGGAGAACAATCCGAAAAGAGGCATCCGCGGCTGACCAGCTACTGGACGTGGAACAGTACTTTGTTCACAAGGAGTTTGATGACGATACTTACAATCATGACATTGGTATGACGCTGATTTGATCTCTTTGTAATAATGTTTCCCTGCTGAAATCATTTCCTCCATATGCAGACCTGCGATAGGGTTAGGGTTAGGGTTAACATCAGTTAACATCTGTCCACATCAGCAAGCAAAATACTGAGTGAGGGAATGGCTAAGGCAATCTTGTTTCCAAGATTTGAAGTATAGGCTATTCTGCAGTGGTTGTTGGGAATAAAGTATTGGGGATGGTGCCAATACTTACAGGAGATTATTACAGTGACTTGCAGCCCGTGAGCTGTTAGATCAGAGGACAGCAAGTGAGGTCTCAACAGTGTGTACCAGGGGAATCTTTTACTGTTCATTATTAGCTATCCAGTTCCACAGATGTACACAGATCCTTGAAGGCAACAGAAAAGGTCAATAAGCTGGTTAAGAAGGCCTATGGGATTTCTACATGTATTAGTCAAAGCATTGAATACAAGAGCAGTGCGGTTATACTCAAACTGTATATAATGTTAGTTAGGCACAACTTGAGTACTGTGCAAAACTAGTCGCAATACTATAAGAAGGAAGTGATTGCACTGAAGAGAGTGCAGAGGAGATTCACCAGGATGTTGCCTGGGCTGGAGTATTTCAGCTCTGAAGAGATTAGATAGGTGGGCGATTAGAGCAGAAAAAGCTGAGGGGGCACCTGATTGAGGTGTACCAGGTTATTAAGGGCATAGATAGGTAAAAATGTCTCCCATTAGAGGAATCAATAAAAGGGAGCATAGATACGTAGTAAAGGGCATGAGGTTTAGAGGTGGAACTCACTGCCTGACAGTAGAGGTGGAAACCATCACAATATTTAAGAAGTATTTAGACAATCACTTGAAGTGCCATAGCATACAAAGCCATGAGCCAAGTGCTGAGAAATGGGACTAGTGTAGGTAGGTACTTGATGAACCAAGTGGAGATGATGATCCAAAGGGCCTTTATCTATGCTGTAAAACTGTTATTACACAACAAATATCTTTAGAATGGTGACTGAGTGCAGTGTCTGAGCTGAGGAACATCAGATGGTGCAGGTGTTCAAATTCTTGAGCCTGCTCTGCTATTCAGTAAGATCATGGCTGATTGAGGCCTGAACTCCACTTTCTTGCCTGGTTCCTTGTAAACCTTCAATACCTTGTTGATCAAAAATCTGAATATTTCAACCTTGAGTACATTTAATGATCCAAGCTCCATTGCTGTCTTGGAGAGAGTACTTTGAAGATTAATAATCCAATGAGAAAATTCAATTTTAAGTGGCGAGCTCCTTTATTCTGAAACAGTGACCACTCGTTTTAGATTCTGTCATGAGCGATAACATCCTGTCAACACCTATCAAATCAAGCCACCACAGTATCTTGTATGTTTTAACATGATCATCCTTCATTCTTTTAAATTCCAGTGGTAAGAGGCCCATCCTGCTCAACTATGTGACAAACTCCTCATATCAGGAATCAGTCTTTCAATAATGGTCTCAGTTCAGGGCAGCAAATGCTAACAGCAACTGAGATGGGGGAAGACAGTTTGTAATTGCATGGCCTTGACCATTGCTGAACTTTCCCTTCTTTCTGCCTGTCCTCTTCCAGCTCTGATCAAACTTCGATCAAAGCGTGGCCAATGTGCCAAGGTAACTCATTATGTTCGTACAGTGTGTTTACCATGGGAGAAGCAGCAACTGCCTGATTGGACTGAGTGTGAGATCTCTGGATATGGCAGACAAGAGGAGTGTAAGTCTACCTTTTGATTTTTGTTTTTGTATATTTGTCTTGATGGGAGAGTGGTTTTAGTGGTGACATTCCCTGATGTTGAATTCTGACCTATGATCTCTATAGACTCTCCATTCTACTCTAATCAACTGAAGGAAGGGAATGTCCGTCTCTACCCATCGAACCGTTGCACTTCAGCCCAGCTGCACAACCGGACCGTCACCAAAAACATGATCTGCGCTGGAGACACTCGGGGCTTTGATGATGCCTGCAAGGTGAGTAATAAGCAGCTGGAGAAAGTAACCTGAGCTCTTGATCACCCAGGTCATTTGGCCTATCCCTAAAGCTGGTGTGATACCACCAGGTCAAGTCTGGAACTTTAAGCCACTGATGGCAAGCTACTCTGTGTCTAAGCATCCCCCCTGACTAAGCATCCCCAAATCTCACCTATTTCTTGCAAGGGACTGGGAAGGGAGCAATGCCTGAGGTGTTGTGACCTCCATTCATCTGATGATCTACTCACTCCCCAAAATCCTGGAAGAAATCTAGACTGAGCCTTACTTTAATCTTCTGCTGTTGGAAATTCACAGAATGTAATGACATGGAGAAGGAGGCCATTTAGCCTATGGTGCTTATGTTGGCTCTTTAGGAAAGGAATCCAATTTGACACCCTCTTTCTTTTTCCCATTTCCTGTTTACCTTCCAAATATGCAAATTAAGGTTGAATCTGGTTTGGAGAGGGGAGATTTCCTGCTATGGACTCTCCCAACCCACCCTGCTCAATATCTTTACTGTATTCTGATCCCAGAATAATCCTCTGCCTGACTGTGTCTACCCTGACCCCGGCACTGTAATTGTTATTTTTGGCATCCTCGTACAGGGAGACTCAGGAGGCCCCTTGGTCTGCCCAGCGAAGGGCCGTATGAATCTATATGGGATTATCAGCTGGGGAATTGGTTGCGGGAAACCAGGAATACCAGGCGTCTACACCAAGGTCTCTAACTACCTGGATTGGATTCGCAAACATGTGGATGAAGCCTGAGGACCAACAAGCAGCCTGAGACATAACGAGCAGCCTTTGCAACCTTTCCAACCAAAGCTGGATGATGCGAGTGTCCCCCTGCCCTCAACCCCTGGTGTAAAGAGGGGACAGTGCCTGAACTGTTGCTTAGTGAGGGGCACTGACCTCCGCACAGATCACTGGACAGCACATTTCCACTTGGATTGAGAAAGACTTATACTTAGATTCTAGTACTTTCTGTTGATTATCCAATGCTTTTTAAGCAATTTTTCTCTGCTTGTGCTGTAGCTGGTCCCTCTCTGAGTTTAAAGTCTTAGGTAAGGATCAGACTGCTTCCTTCAAAAAGCTGTTTCTTCTACACAACCAACACACACACACACACACACACCACTCCTTTTTAAAAAAAATTATAGTATAATGATTTCAGTAGTCTTTTTATTGGATGGCCAAACTGGCCATAGGCTGAGTTTCATTCATGCCAGGTCTGGTACCAGGCTAATTCCCCATTTTTCCTTCTTTCTGTATTCTCTAAGTTTTTTTTAAACATTGCTTGTTCCCATTGCTGCTTCACCCTGCTCTTACCAATCAGGAGATTTATAATTTTTTTATACAGCCAGTTTTTTTCTAGGAATAATGTGAATTAACACCCAGTTGCGGCATCCATTTGGCGTTATGTTAGCTGTTTGTATTGTGCACTTATTCCATTGAAGGGGTCAGTCAATGATGGAGGGGTGAGATTCCCCCTTTAATAACACTCCCTAGTCATACTCCACTGGATTCATAACCAGGCATTAATAGTAACCCTTCATTAATTTAATACAGGGTGTAACAATTACCTGTGTGCAAGTGTGTGTTTATCTGATCAATATAGGCTTGAGCTGGACATCCTTGGCCTGCATGTCCATTACTCCACCCTTCACTCCAAAATATCCCACGCACATAAGTTTACAGACTTGAGGAGCAGTGTTGTAGTGTTGGAGGGAGTTCCATACTATACCATCTGTAGGCCAGCAAAAAAAAAGCTTCTGTGGTGAGCTCATCTGGACGGTTCAAAAATAAATTTCCTTTCTTTGTGAAGAACCTTTTGTGATAATAAGAGTGTAGATGTACATTAATAGCACCTTTTGTGGCCTGTGACTGTCTGCACTACACACATTTACAATGTGGTGTGTTACAGTTCACTCAGGGAGTCAGACTTTCTGTGGCAACATATGTGTCATAATCTGGAGCACCAGATAGTGATGGTAGAGTCTCCATCGTTCTTTCTGTCACATTGCTGTTGGAGGGATTTGTAGTTTGATACTCATCTGTTGCCTGTTACAAATGCGCAATCCCTTGGCCATCATGGCTTGGGGTGTGACTTGAGCCTAGAGTTCTGTTTTAGAATCAGGGACATTATGCAGTGTGCCACTAGACTTCCTCCCTTTCACATCCGCGATATGTTTAGGGGAATAAAGGTTGAAGTATTTTAAGCACTCCTCTGTGCTAAAATATTTATTATTCTGATGAATGTTCTAGATTTTGTTTGTTTTACTGGTTAATGTATGAATACATTATTTAATGATTTTGTATTGCACAATCCATGTTTTTTTTAAAATAAAAGTTTTAACTATTTGTTTAATTTGCCCAGTTCTTGTTTACCATAAGTACGAATGACTAAGATTCCTCTGGATATTGGCAGCTGGAATATTTGTTTCATTCTTATGCCCCCTGACCAGTGGTAGGGTGAAGAAAAAAACATATGTCTCAGATATGTCAACCACTCTTGTGTCCCATTCTGTAAGGATCTTAGCAGTGTGAGAAATGCACAGGGACAGTGAGAGAAAAGGAGCGATTAAAGTGGAACTCCACTGAGTCTCACCAACATGCTTCCCCTTCCTTTTGGGTCAAATTTGAGACAACAATGACTGACTAGACGACATCTATAGAACTAAAATCTAAAAACAAGGAACTAGTCCACCAGGGAGGAAAGGATATCTCAACATCTTATACGTCTTGTCCTGATCACTGTTTACACGCAGTCAATTAAAACACCATCTGTGGCTAATATTTTGGGATGCTGATCAAAAACACATGAATGGCTGAGGGCAATCAACAGCTGCAATGTTGGCTTACGCCTGTATTTAGTGCATGACACCACGTTGGTAAAAGAGATGAAGCCAGTGCTGGGGTTGGTTGCTTGGAGCCTTGTGAAAAACTGATTACCACTTAAAATACCCACTTAGGAATCATTACAGAGGCTATATGGCATTTTGATGGCTGGCCATAATTGTGTATTAAACATTGAACCCAGATGTGTCACAGAATCATTCCAACACAGAAGACGGACATTCAGTCCATGCTAGCTCTCAGTATTAGCACATCAGTCATCCAGCACCTGTTGGTGCCTTAAAGCCAATTTATTCATACCTTCAAGCTCAAATCGTTCAACTCACATCTAATGTTCAGATATTCTTCATTTTTGGCTTGTAAGTTAGTTCATTCTCCTGTCATTGCCTCACTCCTTGTGTAAGTGAATGAGTTGGGAATATTAGAGGGTAAACAAGACTTGCATTTAATATCTAATCTGAGAAATGCATCCTTTAGCAACGCCATGCACTCTTAGTAATCCCTTTCAATATCACAGCACTCCTTCAGCACTGCACTGGAGTGCTAACTTAGGCTTTGTATTCATGTCTCCAGACTGAGGCTTGCACCCACAAATTTCTACAGATGTGAGAGAGGTCCCAGTGATGAGATGACATTGACCATACAAGGAGCCTCCATGTTTTCTGCTGTCTCTTGAGGAGTTCAAAGTTAGTATGAGGAGTAGGAACCCCAGTTCATTCTCCATGGATTGTGACACACTTCTTAAGATGATGGATGGTAATCCCAGCCTGGAACACACCCTCATCAATCAGTCTTCCTCAGAGAAAGGGTGAAATTGAGAGGGTACAAGGAGCATCATATTTCCTATATGATGCATTTTGGCTACATGTCCAAAGACAACACTTCACGTTGTCTTTGAAGATCTCCTTGAAGTGCAGCAGCATTGACATTAATGACTGGGAGGGGCTAGCTACCAGTCACTCAAAGCAGTGCCAACTTGTCCACAAAACTGTGGCACACTTTGAGCCAAATGTTATAATGATGAAGCAGCGTGTTGGGAAGAGAAGGAAGCAACTCTGCCACTCCGAATCCCCCTGCTGCATCTGCCTTGTCTAGATGTCAAAAATCAGCCATTTAGTGGCTTGGAAACCAATGGTAGAGACCTGAGATCTGAGCAGACATCATCCTTGAATGGAGGGACAGCTGATCATGGTACTTCTCCACCTTTTACTATCCAGAGCAAAGAGCAGAGGAGGCGCCTGTAATCCATGCATATGGATATCAAGCAGCCACGAGCACTGTGCCAAACCCTCAGGGCTGACCTTTGGCTCAGTACCACAGGCACACTCCTGTTTTGATAGATTCCTCTCAGTGAAGGTTCACGGGATTCAAAGACAAAACTGAAACTGAAAAGTTAGAAACTGTCAGGAGATTTTGAACAGGCTGGGGGTTCTTTTCCCCAGAGAAGTGAGGATTGAAGTTGGGTGAACTAAGACGTGCTTTTACAATAAAGTAAACGTGGATCTCTGGATGTAGAGAGGATGCTCCTGCACATGTTGGTTGGAGATCAAAGCTAGGTGCCCATGTATAAGATGGTCACCGGGAAACCCAACGCAGAATTTCAGGGAAATATCCATATAACAGAGAGTGGAACCACAGAGTGTAGTTGAGGGTAATAGAATAGGTGCATTTAATGAGAAGCTAAACACTTAAGAAAGCTATAGCAGTATGTGCTGTTAGGGTAAAATGACATTGCGGAAGAGGCTTGTGTGGAGCATCAACACTAGCAGACATTAGTTGGGCTGAATAGCCTGAAACAGTGCTGTCTTTGAGTGCATATTAGATACACTTCCACTGTGAATTCTCTTGGGTGACAGTATCTATGAGTCTGTACTGCGTAGTCATTGGCAATGACCCTGTCTTTAAATCTATTTAGGGAAAGGTTACTGCATCATCACGTTAAGACAAGGGTTGTGGTGGTGGTAGGAGGTGCATAAGGAATAAGCAAACAACTGAAAGAAGAAAACCAGACTCATTTGCTGAGGTTTGGCATTAGGATGAACAGGATGTCTGATCAGCTCTAGCAGCTGTGGGGTCGGGGGAGGCGGTGTGATTGGGGGGGTGTTAGGTTGCTGAAAACCCACATGAGTGTCTGATTCAGAATTCAACTAAAAGGACTTGGGCCGCAGAAATGAAGAACAGCTTTGACTGGAATTTCCAATCCTTGCACAGCAGAGTAGGAAAGAGGAGAACATCTAAAATTACAGATTTCATTACCTGGTTGTGACACAAAACCAAGGCCCTGCTGTCTCCTCTCTCAGGTGAATTCTCTCCATCTTGCTGTCTTCTCCATCATAGTGTTCCTGTATACCTCCCTGTTGACCACCTTCACCTCATCCTCCCGGTGTCACCTGGGATTTCCCAGGCACCATCAAAATACAAGTTGTTGCAGTTGCAAAGATTACATGACACTCTCAGAAGGAGAGCAAAAAGGAGTCCCCTCTGGTGTCCTGCTGACTATCAGACCTCAACTGGCATGACAAAACCATATTGCCCAGCTGTCATCAAGTTACCGCCTATGGAATCTTGCTGAGTACAGAAGAGGCCACTTGGATGCAGCCAATTGGGTTGTGTCCTGTGACGTTACCATGAGTCGGGAGAGGGATCTCTTCCTCCGTCACTCACTGTTTCCATCCCTTCATGATGCCCCATCCCTCCTCAACTCCCCTGAGACTAGGACACGAGGGCACAGCCTCCAAGTGAAGGGACGGCCCTTTATGACTGAGATGAGGAGGAATTTCTTCAGCCGGAGGGTAGCTAATCTGTGGAACTCATTGCTACGGTGGGCTGTGGAAGCTAAGTCATTGTGTCTATTTAAGACAGAGATGGATATGTTCGCGATGAGTAAGGAGATCAAGGGTTATGGGGAGAAGACAGGAGAAAATGGTTGAGAAACATATCAGCCCTGATCGAATGGTGGAACAGACTCAATGGACCAAATTCTGTTCCTACATCTTATGGTCTTATGGTTTCCCCACGCATCACCCCCACCAGTTCGCGAATGGTGAACTCAATGATGTCACCAATCGGTAGGAACCGCCTGTGACATCATCAACAGGAGCAGTCCATTGCATATTGGGGAGGGATGCGCCCTCTGACTTTTAAAAAACCCTTATCTCTTCCATACCCCTCCACCATTCACCCTATGCTGTAGCTCCACAAACTGTCCCTCCAGAATTCAAGTCATACTTTGACATCTCTGGCCCGGAAATCCAGTAAAATCAGGCCGCCTGAATCTTCTTCTAAAGCGTGTCCAGGTGACCTGCACCGGCCGCAGCCTGGCAACCGTTAGTAACAGCGGCAAAATTTCTGGTTCTTTCTCGAAGCCCTGGCTCCATCATCTCCTGGACAACGTCCACCATGAGAGCGACCTAGAGGAGAAGGAGAGAATCACTTCTGAAGGAGGAATCACTTGGGGCCCTCCCTGAGAGAAGACTGTGGAAGAGGCAGAGGCAAAAACGGACAACAGGAGGAAGAAAAGTCGGGTAGGAATTAAAGTTAAAAATCAAAGCCTTCACTTGCGCATTGTCGGTGCTTTAATTCTGTGCAATTATTATTCAGTTTTGTAAATCAAATGTTGAGTAATTAATACTTCCCCTAGTCTGTTGGTAGAGCTAATTCCATTCGCTTATTTCATTTTAGTCATGGGAACTTGGAAGATTTGTATAACTGGGGGAAAGAAAATATTTTATCTGCATTTTATAATGTTTTTTCATTGTTTTATAATGTAATTGTCATCAACTCGTGTTGTGGGCACTTCTTTGTATCTTGCTCTCAGATCTAGTGGCTAGGTATTTGAGTATTGTTGTATTCTCCGGAAAATTCTTAGACCCAGCAATCCCTTGATGCCAGGCATTCCAGTTTAGGGAGTTTTACGGTGGAATTATTGACCTGTGCGAGTTGAAATTTCAAATGCAGATGCAATGTTATGCCCTTGAGTCCTCTCCACGGGATTGGACTGCTCTCTGGTGAAGAGTAGTCTTCCTCTGCAATTCACTCTGAGGGGGACCTTGCCAAAAAATTTTCAGACAAAGGGTTACTGAGAAAATGTGACTCACTCCCCATTCAGAGTCTGTGGTCTACGTCCCATCCAGGGCCCTGTCAAGTGATATCAGTGACTTGGAATATCTGGCTTAACCCCATCACAAGCAAACCACTCTCTGTTCTTTATTTTTTGGATTCATGGCTGTTTAACAAACCCCAACATTGTCTGTCCTGCATGTCTAAATAATCCCTCATCACTCACTGCTGATTGCTGCACTGCATAAATGCACACACACACACACACACACACACACACACACGCATTCACATATTCATTCACACATACACAAACTCCCATACATACACACACATACAGACACACGTCTAGACTCACAAACACTCACACTCACTGCCATCCACATATCCCATCACAAAGTTGTATACACACTCTCACACTCATATATTCACTCATACGTGCACAT